CTGCAGCAAGGCAGTGATTAAATAAACACCAGTTATCAGCAGGATCTTGTGGAGTCCAGAATGCTACAGGAATGGAATCCGGCCCTTGTTGCAGAACCAAGCATGAGAATTGAAGCTTTCCTTGGCAAAAGAGCAGGTCTAGACGGTGTTGGGGAGAAAACCGTGACACTGAGGTTCGAGCGTTGCCTCCCTGAGGTATGTCTAGGGTATGTCTACACTACCCTCCTAGTTCGAACTAGGAGGGTAATGTAGGCATACCGCACTTGCAAATGAAGCCCGGGATTTGAATTTCTCGGGCTTCATTTGCATAAGCGGGGCTCCGCCATTTTTAAAACCCCGCTCGTTCGAACTCTGTGCCGCGCGGCTACACGGGGCACGAACTAGGTAGTTCAAACTAGGCTTCCTAGATCGAACTACCATTACTCCTCATTCCACGAAGCCTAGTTCGAACTACCTAGTTCGTGCCCCGTGTAGCCGCGCGGCACAGGGTTTGAACCAGCGGGGTTTTAAAAATGGCGGAGCCCCGCTTATGCAAATGAAGCCCGGGAAATTCAAATCCCGGGCTTCATTTGCAAGTGCGGTATGCCTACATTATCCCAGTAGTTCGAACTAGCGGGGTAGTGTAGACATACCCTGAGTCTGCAGACAGCCTGAAACAATAGTGCAGTGACAGGGGAGGAGCCCTGTTTAGTTCCATGGCTTGGTAAGTCTGGCAATTTAAACCTCTTAACGTTAGCTATTTTATGGGAGATGATTGTAGCAGTAACGCCCAGGTGCTTAGCCAGTGTGCTTGGCCAGAGGTTTTCAAACCTTTTTTCTCGAGACTCAGTTGAAGAAAATTGTTGATGCCTGAGACCCAACTTAATTTGACTGGAGTGTGGGCTGGAGCTGAAGATGAGAGCCTTGGGGATGTCAGGGCTGCGGCAGGAGGGCTTTGTTTTGAGCGGCTCCTGGTCAGCAGAGGAATGCAGGGGATAAGGCAGCTTCCTGCCTCTCCTGGCACTGCAGACACTGCTGCACCCCAGAAGTAGCCAGCAGCAGGTTCCCAGCCAATGGGACTGAGGAGTTAGTGCTCAGGGAAGAGGCAGTGTGTGGAGTCCTATGCGCTCTCCCTACCACCATGCATGAGCAGGGCCTGTTGCTGGCTGCTTCTGGGGTGCAGCGCAGTCTGCAGTGACAGGACAGGCAGGTAGCCTGCCTTAGCACCCCCACTGCTCACCCTGCATTGATGAGACAGTACCCTAGTGTACTGGGGCACAACCTGTCGTTTGAAAACCACTGGCTTAGCCCACAGTCTCCGACTGCTTCCCTTCCCACCTGCCAGAAGCCCTTCTGCTCCCTGTTGACGTACAAACCCTTGCCCTGTTCACCCCCGGCAGTATTCCAATGCTCGGGTGAGAAAAGTGCAGAGACAACACAACACCAAGTGCCTTTCATCTGAAACTAACACGGGGGCCCCTCCAGTGGCTGCATTCTTTGATTTCTTTTTTAATTCAATCAAACCCTATTGCTTCCTTCATTTAAATGAGCCTGCTCCGGCAGAGGGCTGCAGCATCCAGGTCTCTTGCCGCATAGTTTATTTGCAGTGTTCCAGGCAGGGCTCTGTGCTTAAGCACTCACGCTCAGAGTCAGGTGAAATCTTTTCAGCCTTGCAGTGGTTCTGAAATTGAGCAATGTTTTTCCGGTTCAGCCACCGAACTGAAAAATCAATTGCTCAGCCCGCTGTCTTCCTGTCTACAAGGGAAGAGGGTGAAAAATGTGAAGAAAAATGTGGATTCACTTGCCCACCAAGTTCTCCAACAGCCTGGACTCCTTCGGTCCAATCCCAATATCTGGTTTTTCTATCCTCGCTTCTGTAGAGCCCTTCAGTAGCACAAACAGGCCTATCAATATGCAGCCTTGCTCCAGCTCCTTCTCCTCACTTGGTTCTGCCTTCTTCCTAGGCAAGCAGCACAACTGACCCATCCTCATCAACTCCCTCTCCAGCCTATTGGCCATCATTTAATCCCCCTGCATATACCCCCCTCCATTGCCCAATACTGTCTCCTCATTCACTTGCCACCAGGTGCTGAGGTTTCTCACTCCTCCTCTAGCCCTGCCAGCTGCCCCAGTGATCTCTGCCCCTTACCCACAAAATACTATGGCATATAATAGAGGATGAAGTTCTGGATCTCAGTAGCAGCTCTGGCAATGACAGGCTTTTAACAGTATGCAGGCATGCTATATATTGGTCAGAAGAATAATGTAAATAGCCTAATTGACTTCAGGAGCCGTACTTACTGGTCTACGGGCTGCAACGTCAGGCCCAGCATCCCTGAGAAGTCAGTGCAAATTGAAAAGGTTCACTGCCTATCCATGCATCACTGGTGCCTTAAAGATATGGAGAAGCAAGTTTGTTGCTCTTTCTCATTTTGTGTGTGTGTGTGTGTGTGTGTGTGTGTGTGAGAGAGAGAGAGAGAGAGATTGGGCTAGTATAGCTTCTTTAACTCTAGATTTCTTTCTTGCCAACCTCTTCTAAAATTCTTAGTTCCAGATCATAAAACATGATCAGGGAAGGAAATGGGGAACATCTGAAAAGATCAACAGTCCTGAGGGAAAATATTCAGTTTTAATTAATTGTATCCCTTTTATCCATGACAATGTAATTGCATTCTCTTTAACTAAATCTTTTTAATTGGTACAGGGAGGAAATGATAAGCAGAAGTGTATAATTCCTTCTTAGCTCTTACACAGCATTCACACTGTTTGCTGCTTAGAGGGGCCATGCCAAGTGACAGTGGCAGAGCTAGGGACATAGACACAGAGTGGTTTGATTATCTTTAGCTATTATCCTTCTGGGTGGGGAGAGGGAGTGAAGGCATTGCCTGCCGGAGACTTGAAGAAGGCTTGCTAAGTAAGCCAACCGGAAACACCTGGGCTGGGAAGGGACCCTCAAGCAGCTGGCTCCTTGTAAGACAGCAGAAGCTGTTCTTGAATGGGGCTGTTGAATAGAAAGTCTGAGAGGGAGCCAGGGCTGAGTAGGGCTAGAAACTCTGATCATGACTTTGGTCAACTTGTTTAGAATCGGGCTAAGTCAAGCCAGCTAATGCTGAGTGTTAGACAGAGGGAGGGATGGGAGCGTTAGCTAATATCTGAATTTGCCCATACGTTTTTGTTCTTATATAGAAGGCCTATGATGCTCCAGAGTGCCCGAGAAGAGCTCCAACGCATAGGTAGCTACCTCCAGCAGGGCTGCTGGAGAGCTCAGCTAAAAGAAGACCTCTCCCCTCTCTTAGAAGAGGACAACAGCCTAAACATGGTGGGCTAGTACAATTGCCTCGCATTGGCACTGGAGCGCATGGGGACAGGTTCAATCTCAGATTGTTACCCATTGTCGACTCCTGATTATATCATGTATCTCACAGAGGGCGTTATCTTAAAGATGCAGCTCCTAGACCAGTGATGGGCAAGCACATCAGTGGGCCTCCTTCAGCTCAGTGGGCCGCAGGATTGAAAGTGGGCATGTGCACAATCCATGACTCCACCAATAAGATGAAATACAGTGTACTTGATTCTCCTTTACCAGGCCTTTCCAACACTAAGTGATCCATTATTGGGGCAAATTAAATTGCCAGAAAAAGTCACAAAGAAGTGGAGGAAGCAGACAGCGCTCACAATGTCATGTGCAATCAGTGTGCATCTCACAGGCGTCCTTGCTTTAAATGTGTGTCGCTTCTCATTTTGCCAGGAGCTGCCCAATCACCTCCCTCTACTGCAGGACCATCCCTGTTACACCCCTTTCCTCTTCCCCCCCTGCACCGGGCCTCTTCCCTGCTTCCTGCCCCAAGCTCACCCCATCCCTTCTGTTCCCCCTCCCAGCATTTCCAGTGCGACGTGATCAGCTGATTCACAGCATTCCGGAGGCGCTGGGTAGGTAAGTGCAGGGCCCCAGCACACGAGAGGCATGGGGGGAGGGAGCAGAGGGGGGTTGTGCATGACTACTGCTAACAGACAATTCTGAGGTTGAAGGCAGCCCAGTTGAGTGGTCAGGGCCAAGATAGCAGCTATGCAGCCTACTGGCCAGAGTCATTACAGCCATCTTTGAATTTATGGCTGTGTGGCCTAGTGACCAGAGTCAGTAAAGTAGGCAACCCCCTAGGAGTGGGTGGCAGCTGAAGTTGGGGGACGCAGGCCCTTCCTCTGCATCAGGTCCTGGCCCAGGGGTCTTTTGGCAGTGAGCATGGTCACTTACCCAGTCAGCAGAAATCCTGCTGTAACATGTAGACTTTCCTCAGATGGAAGATACCATTCACCCAGCCTCCCTGGGCCACTTCCTTCCATTCTATTTGTCAACGGGGCCTCCGAGTTCTCTGGCACCAGTAGCTTGATGGGACTCTGACTCCTGTTGGCTGGCTGTAGCCAACCAGTCTCATTTCTGGGGCTGAAGTGGCTCCTGGCTAGAGCCTCTACTGAGCATCCTTCCTTCCCAGTGGTCATCCCAGAACGAGCTTGGCTGCTCCCTTTTATTACTGAGGCAGCAGTTGGAGCATGCCAAGCATAGTCTGAGGGGGCGGAACTTGTGCTGCCCATAATGTGGGGTTAGCCAGTGTTACGTAGCCTCATGCACACCTCATCACACAGGCCTATCGTCTTTTTTTCCTAGATGTAAACATTTACAGTTAGCCACATTAAAATGCATCTTGTGTGTGCGTGATCAGTTTACCAAGTGATCCAGATTGCTTTGAATCAGTGACCTGTCCTCTGACCACTCTTCCAATTTTTTACATTGCCTACTAACTTTTATCAGTGACAAGTTGTTGTTGTCTTCCAGGTCATTCTTCCAAGTCATTAGGAACAAGAACTGAGCTCTGCAGCACCCCACTAGAATGTTAGATTTTGCTTGATGATTTTCTGAATGGACTTTATTTCTTGTGGCATCCTTCAGACCTATCAGTAAGCCATATTTAAACTACTTAATGCATGCCATCTTAATTTTGTGTTATTCTAGTGTTTGTCAAAATATTGCATGGTGCCAAGTCAAATGCTTTACGGAAGTCTAAGCATATCACATCAACATTATTACATTTATCAGACAGACTTGTCATCTCATCGAAAAAGGATATCAGTTTAGTTTGCCAGGCTCTATTTTTCACAAATGCATGTTGATTGGCATTATTTTCCTTGAATTCTTTATTAATCAAATCCTGTATCAGCCACTCCATTATCTTGCTTGGGATCAATGTCAGACGAACAGGCCTATAATTAGCTGCATCATCTCATTCTGCCTTTTTAAAATATTGATACAACATTTGCTTTCTTTGTGTCTTCTGAGACGTCCTGAGTGTTCCGCAACTTTCTGAAAATCAGCATCAAAGGTCAAGCAAGTTTCTCAGCTATTAACACTCTTGTGTGCAAGTTATCTGGAAACAACAAGTTAAAAAAGTCTGAGTTTAGTAATTACTATTTAATATTCTTCTGGGATACTAGAATGGAATGGAATGGAGACACTATTATAAAACTATGTCATCTGTTTTCCCCGCAATATAGAACAGAAATAATTATTTATCACTATTGCCACTGAATTATTATTGATGTTTCTACCATTTCCATCTAGTAATGGACCCATACCATAGTTTGGGGTCCTTTTTCCTCATATACATAACAAATCCGCCTTATGGTCCTTAACGCTGCTTGCCATAGATTTTTCCATATGTCCCTTTTCTTGACTCATAAATTTTCTACAGTTCCTAGTTTCTGATTTTTATTTGATACTATTAACTTCCTGTTTCTTCCATTTGTTATATACTTACAACCATCTTCACTTCCAGTCTCAATCAAATAATATTTTTAATCAGTGTGGCCTTTTACCTTGATTGTAGGGGTTTTGGGTGTTTGCTAAAGTGTTCTTGATCCAGTTACAATTGTTAGTCACCTTTTTCTGATTAAGTTCTTCCTCCCATCTGCTTCAACTCATGATTATTTTCAGCTTTGTGAAATTGGCCAATTAAATCACCAAGTCATTTACTTTTTGATGGTTCTAATTTGAAATTTTTTCCCAGCTTTCCACTGTGCTGCTTTTTTTTTGCCATTTCAAATTTTCCTTCTAACTTGAAACAATAATATCAAACTATGAGAATTTTCCAGTGATCAGAATTCCAATTTTCAACCAGCTCTGTATAAACAGTTTTGAAAATGTTCCCTGTAGTAAGTGATGTCTGATGAAGAGTGAATAGTGTTTGTTTTCTTTCCAGAACACCTATATTGTATATTTTATCACCACAAAATCATTACCACTTTTTGACTTTATTTGCTTCCAAAGGAGGTTGGAGGAGAGATTCAGATCTGGGGGAATTTAAACAAGTGAACATAGAAGGGATGTTTGCATGGGGGCAGGGAGCAGAGTTGTGTCAGGATAAAAAACGCTGCTTTGATTTGAAATCTAAACATTCCAGAAATGACTGAAAATTGCTAAGTGACCTACAGCAGAAAGTCATGTGCATAAGCAGACCATCCCTCCAAGGAAGGCAGTTTATATATTAGCACAACGACGTATAGTCTTTGATTACTTTTGTCAGTGATTTCATTTGTATTGGTATGCTAGAGCTGACACAAAGTACATCTTTATTTAGAATGGGTGGTGACCCTTGAGCGCCCCCTAATGTCGAGAAAAATTATTTTTTAAAATTTAAAGCACCCGTCTGATGCATGTGACCCAGCCTTTTGCTGACTTGCGTGTGGTTGTAAACACCAGTTTGTTTCAAAAGTCATAATCCACAACATTCAAAGAATCAGATCTTTAAAACAAGGTGTCCTTAATACTGGTATAGGAAGAGATGAAAAGAACATCTTTTAAACCCATCAACTGTTCTTTAAAAATATTTCTTTCTGCTAGCTCTGTAAAACAACAGTGCAATGGACAGAGTCCAACCCTTTGTAAATATCACCATTGTGTGGAGTCTATCATAGTTCACAACTGGTTCGTTAAGATCCAGTAGGTATTCATTATAAGATTTTGTTTTTGGAAGAAGATACAGAGGGCTGATCCTGCAACTCCCAGACTGATGATGTCATTAGTGCTATGACATAGTCAGCAAAATGATCATCCCAGACGGTATTTGGGGGCATTTATTTAACACAAAGCTTTATTTCCAAATATTTCAGAAACAATTATTGCATTGGTGATTTTGTGAACATAGTTTTTAATAAGAAAAAACAATGTTTTGCATTTTTAAATCAAATCAATAATCTAGCCATTTAACCCTCCTTTAAAAAAGCTAAAACACATCAATTGTCTTATTTATACTTAACTAGTGGAAGTTATCCTGCTTTATATCAGGCAAGCATCAGCCTCTGGATCTTTGTGCTTTGACTCCAAAATTTAGCCACACCGCCTGATTTTACCAAACTGGTCTAGAAATCCGAGAGGGCACAGCAGCACTGCAACACTATTTAGAAATAACTAACTCTATTCCAAAATAACTTAGTCCGCATCTACACAACAGGCATTTATTTCAAAATAGTGTCAAGCTGGAGGACGTCTTACTCTGACACCTGTAACCCTCATTGTATGAGGAGTAAGGGAAGTCAGAGGAAGAGTGCTCTGTTTTAAAATAAGTGCTGTGTAAACGCTCCATATGTTGAAATAAACTATGCAATTGATGTAGCTCAATTTGCATCGCTTATTTTGAGTTAAGCCCTGCAGTGTAGATGCACCCAAAAATACCTTTCCATCTTGCTATATTTCTGGCACTTCCAGTCCTAGCAGGAAATAGATAAGAATAATTTCTTTTGTGGTATTTGTACATGTTTCGTTTCTGGTGCTGGTAGGAAATTAGAAATGGAGAAACACCGAAGATTTGGTTCTAAAAACAGGCAATGGCTGTGAGCTGTTTTATCTGTACCAGATCACCCCCTCCTAGTTTTCAGATGGACATTCTGTTGGATTTCATGTTGCTGTCTGCTATACACAATTCTTCTAGGGTCCCCTTGTGCAAGCACCTCACAATCTTTAGTGCATGTATCTGCACAGCACTCCTGCAACATAGGGAAGCACTATTATCCCCATGCCACAGGTGGGGAACTGAGGCAGAGTGAGATGAAATGACTTACTTAAGGTCATACAGGCACTGAGAAGTGGAGGAGGCAGGAGTGGAACCAGTTATTGGAAGCTATGCTGCAGCTGGGAGGAGTGATTCCCAAAATGGGTTGGTAAACTCATGATAGACTCATGCTTGAGCTAGTGTGTTACAAACAGCAGTGTGGATAGCTCTGGCTAGCCACCTCCACTCCGGCCCAGATAGCCTGACAGACTTGGACTCAGGCAGCTTGCCCAAGCTGTCACCAGTGCCACAATATCCATTCTGCTTTTTTAGCCTGCTAGCTTGAGCTGAGCTAGGGACAGCTTGTCTACTCATGCTGGAAATCACACCTCCTAGTTGCAGGGCAGCCAGATCCTGAAGTCCCAGGCTAGTGCTTGGACCATCACCAGTACTGCTCATTTGCCTACATCCGTGGTCACCAACCCAGGACTGCACCAGATCCAACTACTCAGGAAACGCACCAGCTGTTTGGGGATGGTGGAAGCAGCTCACGTGCTTCCTGAAACCCAGACCTGGTGCAAAGCTGCAGGACCCCCAGGTACCAGCTGAGTTGTCCCTGTCCCCTCCCCCTGCCCAGGCCCCCATGAGTACCCCAGACCCCTGCCTAGACCCCCACAAGTACCCTGCCCCCCTGCCTGGACCCCTACGAGTACCCTGCCCAGGGCCCCACAGGTACCCTGACCCCTGTCCAGGGCCCCACCTGCAACCTGCCCTGGCCCCCCACCAGCAACCTGCCTTCTACCCAAATCCCCATCAGCATCCTGCCCCCTGGCCAGACACCATACAGTACCCTGCTCCTGCCCAGGGCCCCACCTGTCCCCTACCCCAGCCTCCGACACCTGCCCAAACCCCAGACAGCACCCTGCTCCTGCACTCTGCCCAGACCCCCACCAGCACCCTGCCCCAGCTCCCAACAGCATACTGCTGCCTGGCCAGACCCCCACCAGCACCCTGCTCCTGCCTCCTGGCCAAACCCTATCCAGCACCCAGCCCAGACACCATCCAGTGCCCTACCCCTGTCTCATGGCCAGACACCAACCAGCACTTTGCTCCTACCCCCTGGCCAGACACCATTCAGCACCCTGTCCCTTGGCCAGACACCCACCAGAACCCTGCCCCTGCCTCCTGGCCAGAGCCCTACCAGCACCCTGCTCCTGCCCCCTTTCCAGACTTCATCCAGAACCCTGCCCAGACACCACCAATACCCTGCCTCTGCCCCCTCCCTCCTGGCCAGACACCTACCCCCAGCTTGCACCTGTACCCTATTTTCCACCCAGATTCTGTACCCCATCCCTATCCCACTGACTGGAAGCTCTGTCCCACACACTGGATCCCTCATTTTTGGTCCCACACAGAATGTAGAGGGGCCCAAAAATTCCACTAACCCTGGAACCCCAGAAGAGTTAATTTGGCCTGAGGCCTTGTACCTCAGTCCTACCTACTCTCTCCCCATGGAGCTGGGATGCCAGGGGAGGGAGGTGTTTCTGTTGGGGCCATATCATTGAGGCCTGGCTAGCAAGCCCCCAGTTGGAGACAAGCCCCCATCTGGCTGCAGCATCATAACACCCCAGCATCCCCACACCCCCCCCAACCCTGAGCCTATCATACACCAGAACTCCCTGTCCTGAGCCTCTCACAGCCCCAGTCTTCTGTCACAACACTTCTGCACCATCCACACACTGCAGATGTGTCATGAGCCCATCATACGCCCAAGCCCCCTGTTCTGAGCCCCTCATACGCCCCAACCTGAACTCCTGCACCCTCACATCCACAAGCCTGTGGTTTGCTCAGCATCCCAACCATCCCCTTGACCTCAACACTGCCCAGCCTGGAGCCTCCTCTCTGAGCCATCAGCCCCTTCTCCACCTCCCCCTGCACCCAAATTCCCTCCCAGAGCTTGCATCTCTCATCCCATCCCACACCCAAATCCCTCATTCCCACCCCAGAGCCCGCACCTCCTGTCTCAACCCAGTGAGAGTGAGTAAGGGCTGGGGACAGCAAATGATCGAGAGGAGGGGAACAGAGAGGACAGGGCCTCAAGAAAGGGGTGGGGTCTTGGGGAAGGAACGGGGTAGATCTTGGCTTGCCCTGACATTCAAAAAGTGATCTTGGGTGTAAAAAGGTTGAAGACCACTGGCCTACATCAAGGGTGATCTTACATGATCCTAGTCTTACAGAGCAAGCTAGAAAACCAAATGACTTCTGCCACTCAACTCCAGTGTATTTGGGATGGCTGAGTCAGCAAAAACCAGGGCTCTGTAGGCGGCATGCACTTGAAAAGTTACACTTGGGGACTGTTCAGGAGGGTGCAGACAGCACAT